TATTCAATAAATAAATTGTAAAATATAAAAATAAAGAATTGAAAACACGCTTTTTGTAAAAACAAAAATTAATAATGCCTTCCTATCAACCAATCATGTGTGATTTATCTAGCACACTTACTGATTCAATTCAAAAACTGCAGAGTAAGTTTACAAGATTTATATTAAATTTAAAATTGTATGCTTGAATATATGGCAAATTTAAAGTTCTAAACAAACTGAAGGTAGAAGAAAGAAAAATATTCTATTATTAGCAAGTGATAGGCTTAACTCTGTACTGTTAATAATACAGATTTATACAGATAGTTACTGCGTTTATCTGGAATGAATATACAGATTTGACAGTTCGTCGACAGGGTGACTGGCGATAAGTGTCGAAAATTTCAGGAGGTTCTACTCACCATATGCAACAAAAAACATCTTAGAAACCCTGTCCAAATCTCAACGGTAAAGAAGTAATTTCAGGTTTTGGGTGTTTTTTAATTTTTCGACTTAGGTCCATTAAATTGCTTATAAACTTCAGAATTACTGACTGTAGAACAATCTGGTTTGTGCCACCTAAAAGGACGTTAAATTTGCTGTAAGGAAAACTATTTACATCGTAGAATTGATGAAAAAATTCTGCACGAAAAATTCGAAAAAATGTTGAAATTTGGAATTTTTTAAAATGTTGGTTTGGTAACAATTAATAACTACAAACTCCTGGAGCTTTGCAAATTCCTTCAAAAGTTCTCCATTCAATTAGCTTCCAGCGGTATACCCACCTTTTTGGATTGCGCTTCTGGAAGGCCCAAAAATTGGCGTTTTGTTGAAACTGGTGTCTATGAAGGGGGCCACGTTAAATTTTTTCATGAAATCTGTCAGGCTCTTGAGTTTCGTGTGTTCTTTAATGTTCAATTCAATCAGCTTGCTTCATGTTATCAGCTGCCAACTTCCTCAGGTTGGTGATTTAAATTATGTCTTTTTTTGAGGAAGAATGAGTTTCCCTCGGCGTCTGATGAAGGACATAATTTAAATCACCAACCTGAGTAAGTTCACCGCTGTTAACATAAAGCAAACTGATTGAATTGAATATTAAAGAACTGTCACAAAACTTAAAGAGCTCCAATAAATCCAATCCCACTTCGTTATCTTTAAGTGGCAGAGCTTTCCATTTTCCAGTACACAGTTAGTGTGGTCATTAACCCAGTCCAGCCTTAACAATTGCTAGTTTGTAGAGCAATGTTCATGGAGTCTGAACTCAGCCTGAAAAATCTTCTGTTATTGATTGTAAACCACAAATGCGGCTCCCACAGCTATTTCGCTTTTACTACCATCTGTGAAAACGGTGATTGTCGCTTGATGGGCTGTTATGTGTGTGTAGCTGTAAAGAAACTGTACCAAAATCAGCCAGAGAGTGAGTGATACATAGTTTTAACATAGTGATATTAATTAACAAAAAGAATAGAGAAGAAAACTAACGTAAAGAAAGCGTTAAAGTAATATTGTGCAAAACTTGGCACCACTGCAGAAGTGAAACCTGTTGTTGACGAACTTATAGATGTGGTGTGTTTTAAAATAAAAAGTACCATCGTGAACTTCTATATACTTGAAAGATCCAATCCAGTTATTTAATTTAGCTTCTTGCCTTTCATTTCTCCCCTAAATCTTTTAAGAATTTGTGACCAGTTGAATACATGAGCCCATTATGCAAACGATCAACTCCGACATAAATTTTCAAATCTTGAAAATTCGAAATTTCTTTTAGTAATTATAATCATTTCGTTTGTTTCTTTATGATTTTTAAAGGAAGAGCATTTCGTATGATAAATCCAATATCTTTTAATCATTTTACGTTTCTCAAGATCTCTAGCTAATCTTCAAAGCGAATGAAAGTTATTTTTGAAGGTCTAATAGTACTAATCTTCTTCCAAAAGGGAATACAAACACAAAATCAGCATTTAGCTGAACATTCAGAATATCACAGCAAAAATCAGTCACTGTCTTAAACCACGTTTAATTAATTTCACATGTTATGCCTTTGATTAAATTTTTAAGATTAAATTCTTTCTGCAGGAGTTCAATTCAACATAGGAATGGTATATGCCAAATCTAGGTGTTAATTTAAAATTTCGGAAAAATGTGACGAATTTTATCCTGTATAGGCATCCGGGTCGAAATAAAGGTTTGAGAAGATGGAAGGAGCGCCGCTAATGGTATTACAATATGAAGTGGCATGGAGTTGGAGGGGCTGAAACAGGTTTGGCATTTCTGGCATAGCTTCGGGCTACGACCAAAACAAAACCGACCGCTGCAATTACCGAGGTGCAAACAACCTACCTCTATGTCTTTTACATAAAGGGCAGACGCATAAAATTTAATAGTCTCGATCTAATTAATTGTGATATATCCTTTGTGAGGATGAAAGGATTTCCGTGTACTCCCGCTGCACTTATCGACTCGTTAATGTTCAATTCGCGGAAACCTTCTTGGATGCCACGATTGGTAATAGCTATTAAAAAAAAAATCCATTACAAAGAAATTTATAGTCGCACCGGAAATGGCACCTGTATTATAAAGGTTCTCTGTTTTTTAATACTTCTTTTCTTTTATCTCCTACAACTGTAATTTTGTAATCTTAGCCCCTGGAATTACAGTGTGTGCTACAACCCTATAATTTCTTAGTAAACTTAATAGAATTATTCCACTTTTTATTTCAAAATAAAAATAACTACACGTTTCCTTTATTATTCATTACTTCCGTCATTTTATTGACTAAGACAAAAAATTAATTAATTTTAATCATCTATGGAAAGGTCAGTCTGTACTCAATAGCCGAACAACCAAAACTGTCAACACGGAACAATATAAAATATCTATTAATAACCTAATACAATTTGTCACATTCTAATTATATTACCTATTATCTTCGCATTATTTTTATTGCATCCAGCATGGTTAGTACATACATTTTTCATAAGAACTATGAAAATATAGTATCAAATAAAACAATAATAATAATTAATTAAACCTATGTAGTACGTTCTTGCAATCGGTCGTTAAAGAGTCAAGGGTCAAAGAGTAACGAATTTGTTTTAGTGTTAATTTTTTTAAATTATTTAAAAAAATTATTCGTGAAAACTTATCTAAATCTAGAATAATACAATGAATTGATGTACCATAAATATCGTACAATCGGTGAAAGAATTTTGTATTTGATACAGTTCTGCCCTTAGTAAGATAATAATAATTTAGGCAACATTATAAATCATGACATTTTAGTTGCTATGTTGATAATTGTTCCTCTATTATTTGTTATCCTTGTTCTTCTGTTTTCTAACATTATAATCGTTTTCTTGCTGTATGTTTGTGCATTGATTAATTAATATGTGCTAATATGTTTTTGTACCTTAAAGTGAGCGAGTGTGTCTACCTACGTGTGTGTAAATGAGAGAAAGAGAGAGAGAGAGTTTTGATAAAAATTATTTAATTACGATAGGTTGAAAGAAAATTCAACAAAACACCGAAAAATCATTTAGTGATGGAAATTTTAATGGGAGTGACATCGAGAGAGATGAGTGAGTGTGAGGGAGAGAGTGAGAATGAACGAGTGAGGGTGGACGATAGATAAGATCTAATATTTATTTTTCAATCTTCCACTATACTCCTTTTTATTTAATTTATTTATTGTTATTTACATCCCATAACTTTCGTTACAATTTACTCAAAAGCAAACAACCGGACACTCGTATTTTGGTGTTAGTTCAAACTATATGTATTTTATCATTATATTAATTACAACATTGTAAACCAAATTAAACGAGATCAGAAATTCATGAAATTTAAAAAAAATTACTTAAGATAGTTTAAAAGAAATTCACCAAAACACCGAAAAATCATTTAATAATAGAATAAAATTATTAATCTAAATAAGAATAAATAACATAATAAATAAGTCCGTTATCGTTAGAGAGAGAGAGAGAGAGAGAGAGAGAGAGAGAGAGAGAGAGAGAGAGAGAGAGAGAAAGGATTCCCTTTATTTGTATTGGTATTTTTATAATTCATAATAACTAGAAATGTTTTTTTCGAACAATCATCGATAGTGGATTTTAACTTTAACAGATTTTTATATAAGTATAGTTTATTTTCTTGTAGAACTTTTTTTTTTTGCGTTATGAACTATGCATATTAGCCATGTGACAATTCATATATGTGTGATCAAATTTGGGGGGTTATTGTGAAAAAAGGGCCAGAGGCGATGGTGGGAATCGAACCCACGACCGCGGCGTGAGAGTCTCTCATGCTAACCACTCGGCTACCGCGGTCCCCTAGACCTTGTAGAACCCTTGAAATCAAAGTTAACTCTTCTTCTTAAGTATTATCAACTTAAAAATTAGCCGAAGATCGTGGGTTCGAATCCCGCTCGTGACACTAACTTTTTCATCTCAACCAAGACCCTACACAAAAAGAATAATTAATTCTTTATTATTTGGTCAATTAGGCCACTAAAAATTATGGATTTAAAAATTAGAATAAATTTTCGAATACTTATTACTATTAAAAGACACGATTTACGTGGAAGAATATCTTTGTATTCTTTTTTAGTTCCTACACACAGTAAGTTGTTTTGAACGATACGGATTTCGCGCCCTTTAGCTCATCATCAGGTTGAAGGACTTCTACAACCACGTCTCTCGAAGTCCTTCAACCTGATGGTGAATTAAAGGGCTCGAAATCCGGATCTAGTAGGGACTATCTTTTTAAAAAGGATTGAACACCACACTCACCCCATCATTTATCATTTCTATATCTTTGTATTTGTAGAAATTATTGGAACTTCGGTATTTTTAGTGTATCGATAGTGAGTGTATACTTTATCATGAGAAATTCATATAATCTTTAGTTTATTTATATCCTATTAAAGATGTGGCCAAATCCTTTCCGTTAGTTATTCTTCATTGGTTTCATAAAATTTATTTATGACTTATTATTTATGGGTTTTTTTCCGCTTCTGTCCCTAGGTAAAATGTACGCTGTCTTGGGGAGGAGGCACGGCCGGGTGCTGGCGGGCGACATGACCCAGGGCTCGGCGTCGTTTACGGTCACCGCCGTCCTTCCAGTCATCGAGAGTTTCTCTTTTGCACAGGAAATACGAAAGCAAACTTCCGGCCTGGCAAGCCCGCAGCTCGTCTTCAGCCACTGGGAGGTGAGTCTTTATCAAAACGTATGTTAACCCAGGAGGAAATCAGATAACTGAGGATAATGATAATGAGTTTGCTTGCTTTTTTCTCCTTGCATTGATATGATAACAGTGGTGGATCCAAGGGGATATAAAAATGGAATTACCCTCCCTCCCTGGAGCCAAGTGAAGATGTTTTATGTTATATGTAATATGCCTTAGTTTAGCCTTAATTAAGCAAAGAGGTTTATATTTCAGAATTATAAAACCTTGATCTGTTACCTCTGATAAACCTTCCCTAAATTAAATCAGTTTCCTTTTAACTGGTCACGCTTTGGCTTTGTTTTCTTCCGGTTCGAACACTCGATTTGATATAAAGAAACCTGTAAGTTGATGATTAATTGTTGGTAGATTTCTTTCAAAAATTTAGTGCTCTCTAACGTTCGCATTTTTCATCGCGTTGCAATGAAATATGGCAGGGTGGTAAAGGATCCTATAAGGACGGTTGGGATTATTGTTCAGCCAAATTGACCGAGATCGCAGAGTTATAGGCGATGAAAGTAAAAAATGCAATTAAAATTTTTACCATTTTGGTGCCGATTTTAAGCTGGATTCTTCATGTAACTTTTAACCTCGGTTTGGCTGAAATCTAAGCAGTATTTTAAAAGTTATCATAATTTGAAAACATCCCATTTTTAATCGGGATTTTTTCTCAACTACGGTACTTTCAAACCTAATTTCTTTCGTCTAAAAGATCAAATTAATTTATTTTTTATACTAAAATGAAACCGTAGGCGTTTCTTAATTTTTTGTTACAAATATGCCAAAAAAAATTTCTTATTTACAGAGGAATCACGGTAAAAAGCAAAAGTCATTAAAATTGTGCATATTATTAATAAATTCACTAATGGTGTCCGAATGGATCGAGGTCACGATAGCTCAAGTGGTAGAGCAGCGGGGCGTATCAAGCCGAAGATCGTGGGTTCGAATCCCGCTCGTGCCATTGACTTTTTTATCTCAACTGAAAACCTTAATTAATTGTAAATTATTAATAAATATGGCGTGGCAGTCGCACGTCTTTTTCTTAATTAAATAGCTTAAATAAAATTTCAAATTAGGTAGTTAACTAGTAAACCATTATTTTATTTTCATTATTGCCGGTGCTCTAGGAAAAAATGGCCCGAATCTAATTTAATTTAACGCTAGCAGTTAATAAGAAACAAAAACAGTTGATTAATTTTTTATCCTATTGCAGTATGTTTATGATGTTACGTTTTGTTTAAAATAAATAATAATATATGCCTATGGTTTTCAAATTATCCTATAATTTTTAAAGTAGCAAATTTTGAGCACCGCTGGATTGATTCCGCAAAAGAAAGACATCTGCCTCTCACTCCTTACTGCCGTGAGGGTGTTTTTTGTTCGTTTATGTTTTGTGCTAAAATATTACATTGCAGACCATGATTTTTTTTGTGATTAGACATGTTCTTCTGGTGCTTTTCTGATTTCTGCCTCTAATCTTCTTATTCGATCTCTCGATGTGATAACCTCTAAGTTGGTGATTAATTTTATATTCGTTAATGTTGGCGACTAAAAACATTTACATTGCAGACTATGACGGAAAAACGTTTTGGAAATATGTATATGTTCATTTTTGAAATTAAAGTATTGAAACTTTTAAATCAAGTAATTATTTTTTCAGTTTTTCCCTTTGAAGGAAAAAATATTGCGTTGGGTGGAGTTAACATAATATGACACGAGTCAGCATTTGGTATAATGTTCATGGCAATGTGTTTCTTAGTGACCCGTCGTTTCATAATTTGTTGAATTCATGAGGAACGGTCAAAATGAGGTAGTTTAGAAAAACATCTTTTTCATTTTTTCCGATTTTTCAAAATTTGATTGTCAAAAATCACAATACTTTCATACAAAACCACAAGAATACCAATCAAACTTTATTCCCTGAAGATGACCCGAATAAAGAACGGAACGTCAGCAAAAAAATTAAAAAGGTGTTTTTCAAAACTACCTCATTCTAGACCGCTCCTCACGAATTCAACAAATTAATTTCTATGGAAAGGTCATTCTAGTGATGTATGTTCTACAAAGGTGCTTAAGCCTAGAAATAGCATTTTTCAAATTTGTCGTCGGTGGGCTGTACCTTTTTTCGTCAAATTAACCGTTTTTAACATCAAATGATTTTTTTTAAATTACAAATTACCCCTTTTTAATTTCATCGTCACCATTTTTTATTTCAAATTAACGCTTTACTTCCGTTGTAATTTTGGGTTTTTAAATAATTTTTCTACGATGCTTTATAACTGTATGTAAATATTTTTGGAAATCTTTTGCTAGATAGCGTGAAAAATGTATATTATACTTACAAAGGGAAGCTACGGACGTGGGATCACCAATTAACGAATTTTTTGGCGATACCAGGTAGAAAAATATTATAAAGGTGTCCGATCGTTCTTCCAATGGGTACTGGGAGCAGAGAAAAATATTTTAATTTTGTTTAATGTGTTTTAATGCTTTTGTTGTGCACGTGTTTCAAGGTTGTTCTGTACACTTCAAGGCAAAAACCGGACACTGTAATTATTTGTCGTTTTCCTTAATAAGTTTAAAGATTAATAGTTGCCAACTTGTCAAGTAAGTAGTTAATTTTGTAAATTGTTTCCTTTCATGAAACAAAAAATTCGAGTAAATTTTGTTATTCAGATATCGTAAGATGCGGTCGGGTGTGATGTAGGTTTCAGAAAAACATTTTCTTTATCGTGCCAACGTTTCGATCTTTTATTGAGATCATCTTCAGGGCCTGGGATTTACAAACATTGTTTACATTTAACAAATACATTTAGGATGTAGAAAAGTGAATTTATACGATGCAAAATATATTTTATATTCAAACAAAGTATTTGTTAAATGTAAACAATGTTTGTAAATCCCAGGCCCTGAAGATGATCTCAATAAAAGAACGAACGTTGGCACGATAAAGAAAATGTTTTTCTGAAACCTACATCACACCCGACCGCATCTCACGATATCTGAATAACTATCGATTAACGGTCACTAATCTCTACACAGTAAATTTTGTTTTTATAAAAGCATGATTTTAACTCTAGAAGATCTCGCCCGGTGCTTTAGCCAACGACGGACGTTGCATCCGTTACATAACCCGGGTTTGCCGCGCTCTACCATCCACGATGGTCTACAGCAGTTTAAGGACACCATAAGTCTCAATCGAAGAGAAGGTGGTGATCGACCGCTTTGTACGACGGTTAGTGGCAATCGTTTTATTGCTCTGAACCGTCGTTTAACTGTTTCCTTAATAGGTAGTCAACAACGTCAAGGTCCGTGATGTAATGTGAGGTCTAAAACAGTAATCGGAAGGCTTTGGGAGAATAGCCCAGTCTCTAGACGACCCGCGTCACGTTCTCTAATGGAGAGGCATCAAGCAAAAAGGCGACTATTCGCTCTCAGCACCAACTTTGACACTCGAACAATGAGAGCTATTCAGATATGAGCGATGGTTTGGTTTGTGGCAATCAGATGATCGGGACCGTGGTGATGATGATTCCTTCTTGTACCGTGAGTCACAGCCGTTTCAAAGACAATCATATGGTATACCGAAGTGACTATTATACAGAATGAATTTTTTACCGCACTATGGTACATTGAGAAAGTTCTTCTGGGAGGTGTGGTCCCATTCGTTTCATTTATTGGGGAAAACTTCTTGGTAATGCATAAAGCTGGACCATGTAGCACGTGTTATCACCCATTGTTGGTTGGGTGTAGGGAAGAATAAGAAATTAATAATGGAAGATTATATTCAATGGTTAGATGTATAAAAAATTCTAAAAGCCAAAAGATGTTTGTGTTAAAATAGGCAAAAAATTAGTATTCGTTTTAACACCCTGTAAAACCTTTAAATAGGAATTTTCATCGCAATGAAAAACTATTTTGGCTGGATAAATGTATGCATATATGTACATTTAACTCCTCTGGATTTTGTCCATATTCAACGTAATTACAATTTTTTAAAATTAATTAACATTTTTATGTAAGGTTTTGGTTGAAATGAAAAAGTTAGTCTCACTAGCGGGATTCGACGAAGTCAAGATTGCTCAAGTGGTTAGAGCAGCGGCGTATTGAGCCGAAGGTCGTGGGTTCGAATCCTGCTCGTGACACTAGTTTTTTCATTTCATCCAAAACCTTACATAAAATGTTAATTTATTGAAAGAAGTAATTTGGTAAGTAAAGAAGTAATCAGACCACTAATATAACGGAGTTATTACAATTATGGAAGGCAGAATATTTCTTCTTTCAGGTTTTGTCAACAAATTTCCTTAAACGTTTAATTTTTTTAACTCCGGTTCAACTTTTTGCACAGGGGCTTTTAAAAAATAACCATTGCGTATAGTTTACTAAGTTCTAATCGTTTGTTACGTTTACGATTGATCTGTCGAGTCTTTTCAAAGTTATCAACATTTTTGTGTTTTTCGGAAAAAAATCGGTGTCAAGAGAAGGCGAAATATATGACAGCATTTTTTTCCCAAAAATTTATATTCATGGGGTTCTGGGGTGCAAAAAACAGATATAAACTTTGTTTCTTGTATAAAAAAATTAACATTATTTTATATATTTTGCAATATTTTAACTTACTTTGCTATGTAAAATTATAATTCGAAGTATGCACGGAATAGAAGATATTGAAATGCTACAAGCATATGATTTATGGCCGAGCGATGTGGCAAAGAAGACTAAAAAAATTTTTTAGCAAGTTACAAAGTTTATATTCGTATTGTCTGTTTACTCTGCACCCCCAATTTCTCCAGATAATAGTATAAGATTGGGACAAAGGACTCCTGGACAAAAAACCTACGCGGTATCCCATACAAAACTAAAACGAATTGACTGTACTGTTAGGTATGAAATGCTGAAAAGACAATTACTTGACATTATCTGACATAACTTAACAACTATTATACACAGCCCTTATCTCCCCAAATTGGGCCTAAGCTGTACCG